AGAATGTTTTGTCAATAATTATTTAGTCTAATAATAGGGGCACATGCTATATTATATTTATTAAGACAGTAGCTTATATAAAAAATAATCATATCCTAAAAACAGTAAACGTGGAACTCGTGAATATACGTGTTATTGGTTGATATCGATATATATCGGTAAACAAGCAGTAAAAAAGATGTGCATAAATAACTAAAATTTAAAATTTTATATTCCAAACCCTCTATATATATCAAAAATTACTTGTAATAAATAAAAAAAATTTTCATCAACATTATACGTCTCTACAATCTCCTCGAAATCTTCCAGGTCTTCGAAAGAGAAATTCATTTTCGTCTCTTTGATCTCCTTGAACCCTTTGCGAAATCTTTATCTGCGCTCTTTAAACCCTATATATTGTATAATGTCTCTAGAATAATCCGCCAAAAGGTTATTAGACCTTTAAAGAAGGCAGTTGTTTTAAATGTTCGGCCCAATTCACATATAGTTGTCGGGCCGACCCGAAATAGTTAAAACATGCGCAAAATCTCAAAAATACAATGGATTTGGGTTATCAGGTCGCTATGTGGCACCATTTTATTGGCGTCCGAACGTAAAGCTACATTCAGACGCCGGACCCAATAAAAATGAATTTCTTTGTTGCTGCTATGCTTGGTGTGCTTCCCATAAAATAGCATTTCATTGTTATAGCTTCTCCTGGTGACCATTGCTTCATCAATTGCTAGTTCGACAACGTCGGATTGGATGTCCCGATGGTAGCTCACTTACTGTGAAGGTAACATCTTTCTCCGGGATATGTATTTGCTCGCAAACTTATAAATCATGTAGTTCATAAATCTCTTAAATCCGTCCAACAAAGGAAAAATTATTCTGTTTGGAGTCCAGATCCCAATGAGAATGCGCCACATCCGATACGAGTTAGTACTGAGCAGTACTCGGTACTCGATACCACTCGATACCTAAGGGTAAACCGGGCGGTTCTCTCGTTCGGTGTACATACAGAATAATCTCGAGGATAGTAAATCACTTATTTACACCGTAATTTTTTTAAATCTGGGATTTGCAAGGGATTTAGATTTACTACGAGCTCGAAAATTATTTGGCAGGATTTACCGTTACCGGCTAAATTTTTTTTCTCAACTCTGATACCAAGCAGCACTGTTTCCAAACATGTAGGATTTAACTTTAGAAAGATTTAGTAAATCCTATAAATTTGGATTTGGTAAATTCCGACATGTTAAATCCACAAAAAAGAATATTGTTAAATTATGTGAAATTGTTTGTTAACGCGATCGAGAATTTAAAGTGGTTAATTCATTTAATAATTAAGTTAAATGTGTTTTAAAAATTGATACATGGTTAGAAATCATATTGATTGGACGCAAATCTCGAAGCAAAATCAAGTTGGAAACTTTCGAAATTAAAATTGGGAGAATATGAACTCCAATTTCCACAAACTTATAGTCAAACTAAGCGTCTCGAAATTACAAACCCAACGACTCAAATGAAGGACTCGAAAGATTGTTGAAAGGTTCAAACCACAATTTGGATTACCAAACGACTTCCAAATGTTACATGTTTATAGTCGAATCAAGCGACTCAATGAGACAAATCCAATGAGCCCAATATCACTAAATTCTAAAATCACTATGACATTCAAATGTCTAGTAAATTGCTTATGATCAAGGGAATCAATATCGGTCGTCCATCCAAACCACTCCAACTTACCACTGATCTTCTATCTATTATAAGTCATGCAACTCTAGAAAATATATAAATAGAGCCCCAATTTCTCATGAAAGGGGACCACCAAGCAAAGAATCAAGGGAGAGATTGGAGATCGTTATTGCCTCCTCGCTCCTCCTCGATCACCGCTCGGACTTCCCCATACCACCACCTGATGCCGGAGTTTTGCGGGACCGTCACCCAATGCCTGAGTTCTGCCAAACCATCGCCCGACGTCAGAGTTTTACTAGACCATCACCTGACACCAGAGTTCTGTCATGCCAATGCCTAACGCTAGACTTCCGTTCGGACCACCGCCGGACTGCAGATTAAGGCCCAAACTTTCGAAAGTCGGATTTCCGCCAGACCACTGAATAATGTCCGAACTTCTGTCGGAGCACCGCCTTACGACTACAGTCTTTCTGACATCGTCTCCTGCTGACTTTGTTCCTTTTGACCTTCGTAGCCTACTACGGTCCTTCCGACCTCCCTCGCCAGACAGCGGTCCTTGCGACCACCGTCACCAGACTACGATTTTTTTGGCCTCCGTCATATGCCGACTAAACTAACATTTCAGTACTAATTCTTCCAATTCCCAATATGTAATACATTTGCTACGTCAACCTAAGGCCTTTCACCCAAGGAAGGGCATCATTTTTAATCAACTGCAAATAGTAGTGAATTCACTCAAATTGGGTCAGGCCCTGTGATTTTTCTCTTTTTTCAGGGGTTTCCACGTAAAAACTCAGGTGCCTTTAATAAACGCTACACCCTCTCCTTTATCTACTTATGTGCTGGATCTTCATACAAAACTAAGACAATATATTTTATATTTCACTACCTATGCAAATATTCCAGGATGTAAAAAGTAATAATTTTACATGTAAACTATATATCACTTATTCATTTCTATTATAATTGCCATCAATAATATAATGATATATTTGATATTTAATTATATTAACAAATCTCTAATTAATTAGTTATTAAAAAAAAGGAATGATTAAAAAAAAGGAATGATTTAACTACTAATCATACTAATAAATTAATTAATTATTTACGTATTACTTAGTTTATTTTAATTATAAATTATACTATTAATGATCTCAATAATCATTTAATTATTCTACTACTCATGAATTATTCAATTATTATTTTACTAATTATTCTATTTGTTATTAAATTAAGTTAAATTAGATAAATACTTATTTATTAATATTTTAACTATATTAATTAAGTTAATTTTGATTAATTTCCTTAAATAGGTTAAAGTTGTTAGGGTTTGCTTTTCATTTCTCTAGTTGTCTAGTTCGTCGTTCCTGTCCGACTTCGTTGCTTCGCGCAGGAGTCGCTTACTCTGCTACTTTGTTGCTGTTCGACTTCGCTTCTTCCACAACGTTCCCTTCCTGTCGGATGGGAAGTCACGACATCCTAGGGTCTCGCTCGCTGTGAAGGTAACTATCTTTCTCCCTTTCGCGCGATTCTTCGGCCAAATCCCTTAAATGCGCGAAATTTCAGGATGTACTGAATCCGGGATTGACGGTCCAAAGGGGGAGACGGAGGATTTATTCCTGAGCGAGATTTAGCGGCGCTCAAATACCGTTTGGCATATGCCAAATACTACTCAAAATCGGCATAAATCCTGCATCCAAACATCCCCTAAAAGCTCTGCAGCTTGAAGCATTTTCATCGGCCTCGTCTTAGTAAAGCCAGCAGTTTCAGACTCTTCTTCGAAGATGCCTAAACATTACAGGCCTCCCGTAATACTCTTGCACTCAACTAATCGTCGAATCAATCAATGAATCGCATTTATTTTTCTTATTGTCTTTTGTTCTCATCATATTCTCCGCTATCTTTCGTGAAGGGGAAAAAGAAGGAGGGAACTGCCGCCACGTTTATCACGAGGACGAAGGCAGTGCGCAATCTTCAAGTCACTCTTCCCCACTTCAGGTGTGCTATTTGTTTCTTTTCTCGCCACCTACCGTGGTTTTGAGGCTTGGGCTCTGTCGTTTGGAAGTTTGGGATTTCAGATAGTGTTCGAGTTGTTCCTTTTTCTTCTTTTAACTTGATGTTCTGATAAATATTCTTTGTGAAATGAAGCACCCCTTGATATTTTGTGCAGGAAATTGTGTATTCTTAAGGGGGTTTTCCCTCGAGAGCCAAAAAAGAAGATACATGGCAGCGAAAAAACTTACTATCACGTGAAGGATATCAACTTCCTTATGCATGAGCCCCTACGCGGGAAGCTATGGTATTTTGTTACTTTCCTTTACTCTGCTCTATTACGTATACCTTTCTTTTATTTTGCTCTATTACGCGTACCTGTCAATGTCACTCTTCAAATACACCGCCTTTTATATCATATATGAACTATTTTGTTTTGTTGGATTAGTTTTTCTTCGAAATTTCACTCTTCCAATAATCCTGTGACCATTTTACCTGCTTGTGTATTTTTAATTTGGTAGGCTTTAAACTTTTTTTTTTTTTTGAATATCTGCATTTGCATTAAAATGAGGTAAAACTAATTACAAATAGACTATCAAGTGAGCTACTATATCCTATCATTCTCCTCCCTCAACAAAGACAACAATGTTGAGGGGAATTCACTATTATTCACATCCTGTAAAGTAAAATTACCATGTAAAGCTAAACGGGCGCAAAAATCTGCTGGTCGGTTGCTGTCTCTATGGGTGTATTGGAAAATGACTCGTTTGAACTCCATGAGAAAGGACAAATACGGGCCATCCACCTTAAAATGAACCTGATGTTGCCGGTCATTTAGGTTCTGCAACCATTTGATTGCATTAGAGCAATCTCCTTCAATGATTATCCCATCAAGATCATTCATCCAGTCCATAAGAACCTCCTGTATAGCAGCGGCTGCCATAGATTCTGCTTGCAGCACATCCCAGTGTTCAATCCTTCTCCCAGCCGCGATAATCATAATCCCCAAATGGTCCCGAACCACTATCCCAATGCCAGCCAGATAGGATGGTAAAAGAGAGGCATCAATGTTGAATTTCAACCAACCTAGGGGGGGGGGGGGGGGCGGGGGGGGGGGGGGGGGGGCACCAAAGTTTGTGGGACGACAACCCAATAGGCTGATTGGTACTCCATTACTCCAGAATTGGCCATTTATAAGGCCTGGGTAATAACGAAAGAACAGCAACAGCTATAACAGAAGGGGACCTACACTTCTTACGATGCTTCATATCATTTCTAGCCCACCACACTTGATACACAGTGTAGCAGTAGATTCGCCCCAGAACAGGACAACTATCAGAAGAGAATTTGAGCACAGAAATAAGCTCAGCAAAGGAGTTCACATCTGGCAATGAAAAACCCCACTTCCCCAGAATATCAAAAACCTGCCTCAATTTAACACACTGAGTCGTGCAATGATCCAAAGATTCCTCCATGTTACATCCCCATAGACACTGTGGTGAGTCAGCCATTTTTCTACGAAACAACCAAACAGTGGTGAGTCGTGCAGAATCTCAATGAGCTTAATTTAAATTTAACAAGTCTAAAATTAATGTGATTAATAGGTAATTACGAATTATTATTGATAATTGATTAATTATACTCGGTTGTATTATTATGATTAAGCTACAAAAAATAATTTTCATAATCAAAACTCTAATTAATCACTAGTTGGATTTACTAAATTATCAATAAAAAATATTTTAATTATTTGCTGAAGCAATTAATTTTCCCTTACTAATTATTATGTTAAGCGTTTATAAAACCTAGTGATATTAGTTACATCACTAATTAATTTTATGAATAGATATTTACCATAAGAAGTATTTGATAGTTGAATTAATTGAAACTACTGTGCGGACTTAAAAAAAATGTTAATGCTCCCTTGCTGATGTTTTCATAATTTCATGAAAAAACCAATTTTGTATTAAAAAAATGAAAACACGGATGCTAATTTTTTTTACTCAACTAGTTGTTTATGAAAATAGAAAATGAAAAGTAACTAATAATAGTGAGTCCAAACACAGCCTTATATTTATGATGTTGATATATGTTTGGATCGACCTTATTTCAATTATTCTAATTTTCCATCTTAAATTTATTTGATTATGCTCGGCTATATATTATAATAGTGGTCGCAGATTCATTTTTTTCCTATTATATTTTTCCCGCACTTGATGGACCTCTTCAATACTCCAGGGATATAAAAGCTTACAAGAAGAAAATTAAGAAGGCTCGGGGAAAGAAGAACAAAGATATGGTTGAACGACTACTTGATCGCCAACCAACATATAAACTTGATAGACTAGTATTAGAAAGGTTTGTATTTTCTATAAATTTACATTATTTAATATTATTATAAATTTATGTTTCTTATGTTCAAGTACAATGGTTTTTAGGTATCCTACTTTTGTTGATGCTCTTCGAGATCTAGATGATTGCCTTACTATGGTGCATCTTTTTGCGACATTGCCTGCAATGGAGAGTGAGCACATTCAAGTTGATCGTATTCATAATTGTCGAAGGTGTGTTCCTTTTTTTCGGAAATAATCTACTTTTTAAGTGATAAATTTCAAATTCATAATTTGTCTAGTTTTGTTGTATTGCTTTTGAAGAGCACAACATTATGATGATTGCTTTCATTTGTTTAATTAATTATCTCTCTTTGATCTCTACAAATTATTAAAAAACTTGCCAAGCTTAAGCGTTTTCCCTCTCTTTCTTTATTTCTTTTATTTTCTTGTTTTTCATGTAATCTTTAACTGCTCTTTGCCTTTATACTAAGATAAATTTTGTCCTTCCTGAACAATTGATGTTTTTGTACAATTATGAACTTATTTTGTTATGTTCTCCTTATGAATGCAAGATGCAACCTTGCTAGCTTAGAAGCATGTTATTAAGTGGTCCATTCTTTGATTTTGAGGGTAAATGCCACAAGTTGGAGTTTGGTTTGTGACTTTTTTAAACTAAATATTTATTAGCTCTTTTATGGAATTTGATATGTAATTGACCGTAGGGCATACTTTAAATTAACGAAATTTTTAGGATAGCTTTTTGTGCTTTAAAAAAATTACTTGATTAGTTGGTGAGAGCCCAAACAAGAGGGGAATCCAATAACCTTTTTTTCCGTTGGTTTTTACCCATTTTTCGTGTGGTTGTTAGTGAGTTATATCTTTTTTTTTACATTGTGTTTGAAAATGAGCAATGGATTAAAGCCTTTGTTTTTGTTTAATGACCTATTGTCACACATGCAAACAAAGACGGACAATTACTATAGCTACTTAAAAGTCATCAATTTGCAATGCACACATGAAGTAGAAAGTGGGAAACAATTATTGTATTTGCTTTTAGAATTGTTAATTTGTAATTTGCAACGAGCACAAAGTGCTATGCTTTATGCACACTTAAATTTAGTAGGGCACAAATTTGTGGCAGTTGTGCCTTAATTTCTGTCACCAAAGCCATTGAAGCAAAATAAGACTTATAAGCCAATTAAAAATGAACAAATCTGAGAAAAACTGTTATTTAGAGAAAAATCTAATGACAGTTTTGAGATTGACTAAAAAATATTTTCAATGGGTTAACTTCGTATAATATTCATATAATGAGTTCTACTGTTCTGAGCTAGATTAGATTGTTTTAAAAGGTTGGTGGGGAATAAGACTTATACACTGATGAAAATTGAATAGGATTTGAGCAAAATGCTATTTTGAGAAAACAACTAATGACAATTTTGAGGAAAAAAATTAAAAGAGACTTATGAATAATTTAATGAATTATTCTATAGGTTGATTTTCTTTATTAGATTTAGATGAGAATTTGTCTTAACAAGACACAATGGAGAAAAAAAGAATCATGTAGCTGACCCCACATAGTGGGATAAAGGCTTGTTGTTGTTGTATTCTATAGGTTGATAAAAAAATTATAATTTGTTTTCTTTGAATAATATACATAAAATAAAGGTAGGTTCAAGAGCTAGATGAGATTTTTTTTGGAAGGTCGGAGGTTTATGGAAGATGTAGTAATAAATGTTTTCCTAAATGATAAGAGGCACCAAATAGTTTGAGAACAAGCATTTAAGTATCATTTTTATAAACCAAAGAGGTATTCAATGTTGTGATAGTTATAGTTGAATCAAACTTGTAATCTATATAATGCGGTCATAAGGGAGGCTATTGAAACATAGGATCATAAAATTGTTTATTTAATTGAGAATCAATTTGGCATGCAGTTTTAATGAATTCATAAATAATGATAATTGATCAATGTTCCTTGAAAACCAACTCATATATTTGTATGCTTATGTAATGTATACAAAATGACATACTTTGATTTATTCCATTTGCAAATGATGCAATTCTTATAGTTGAGACTTTTGAAGTAAATTAAAACTAGAACAATGGAGAAGTTTTTTATGATGATATGTGGCTTAGGATTTGAATAATGTTGGGTGCATAATGTGCAAAATTGTCATGAGACTCATAATCATTAATCTTTATTATTCAAAGTTTTAATTATACCTTCTATGACAGGTTTTGAAACATTAGATATATAAGATGGTTCCATAAATTTTACATTCTAGGCCACATGGTTGTAATGAACAAGTGTACTAAAAGTCTAGGCCACATGGTTGTAATGTACAAGTGTATTAAAAGTACTATGACATAAATGAGTATGTGAAGACATAAATTTTAAATTTAGAAATCTATTATTTTATCTTGGACAATTCTAAAGAAGTCTTTGCCAATTGATAAAAATAAGAATGTTAAGAGGATACTTGTGAAAGGATTAAGAGGAATGATTTATTGGAGTTGCAATTGTGTTAACACTTACTGCACATAACATTACAATAAATAGACTTAGGTCGTTTAGCTATGTATATAGGAGCGTAATAGATGCACTACTAAAGCATATAAAAAATTAATGTAAAATGATTAGGAAGGTAAATCGGTATTGAGGCAAATTTAAAAGTCTTTATTTATTGGTCATGCAATTCATGTGCTTTTACATTGATCTAGTTACCCTTATGTCATTGTTTTGTTGTTTTTTTTACTTAGTTTATAAATCAGATGTACCATGTCTATGATGATGGTTTGGACTTGTTATCAAGCATTTTGATTACCTCATTAAGATTTCACAAAATGACCAATAATCATAGAAAAATAAAATTTATTCACTATATTCAAGTTGACGAGGATTCTATTTTTGATCAGAAGATCTTCGCTGATGATGGTACCTTCTCTTAAAAAAAAATTGTGAGAAACTCTTTGATAAAGTATTCAATTGATTATTCTAAGCTTTCAGCCTTTGATGATCCTTCGATTTTGAATATTCTTGATTCTCCTTTTGTTCTTTATATGATTATAGCTTCAACCTTTAATTTAGGCGCTAATAAAATTCTTGATCCAGATGATTTTCTATTAACTTCTTTCTAGACATGGGACATATTCTTGGACAATGTCTCTCTAACAAATTTGATTTTTTAGATACTTTGTCTTATTCCTATAAAAGTTGTATATGAGAATCCTAAAAACTTCATGCGTGTTAGTCTCCTCATTGGGATCTTCAAAATATTTACTGAAGTTTTAGCCAATGGACTTATAATACATCTTAATCATTTGATTGGTCATTCTTATGATGACTTTATTGAAGATAGAAATACTCTTGATTGCATTGGTGTAGCCAACTAAATCACCCATTCCACATTTAAGAAAAAGAATGCTTCTTGTGACTACAGAGGACGGTTGGATTGAGGGCAACAAGTTCCCTAAAAGTAATATTATTATCAATTATATTCAATTTGTAGATGATATATCCTCTTTTGCAGAGTTGATCTTTCTCAAATTTTGGTTCAAATTATCCTTGTTCATGATGTTTAAGGTCTCAAAATTAACTTTCTTAATTTTATTATATTTATCTTGTGGTTGAAATGATTAAGGACCTTCTATCTCTAATGATTTAGGCTGTTCTCTTGAAAGAAGTATAAAATATTTAGGCCTTCTTAAGGGATCTAATGCTATGCAAAAAGACCTTCATATTCCTATTATTAACAAAATCAAGAGAAAGCTTGCTTATTGAATAGGTAAATTCCTCTCTGAAGGTGGGAGGAATATTTGATTAAGTCCATGCTATGTTTTTGTATAACACTATTGCTATTGACTTTAGGAGGGATAAAGGCACTCCTTTTACTTATTTGATTAAGTATGTATAGAAATATTCTGAGCCTTTATTTTATCTCATATCTTGGAATATCAATAATGGTGTAAAAGTCAACTTTTTGCTAGATGTTTGGAACCACAAATTACCTTTAGCAAAGCTTCACCCAGATTTTTTAAAGGTGGATTGGAATCCTAATTGATTGATAAGTCTTCATTTTTTTTTGTACTTGTCGTCTTCACTACTATGGATAACTCTTTTTAATCTAGTTAACGATATTTCTATTTTTTTTGTGAGTTAAAGTACATTAGGTTGAATTTAAACATTGACTCTCATAAGTGGTTGCTCTCTCTTGGAGGCCTTTTCTGGGTCTGCTTTTTTATGTTCTTTCTATGTGCATGTTGGTATTATCACTCCTCATTCTTGGATTTGGAAAGCCTTAGACCCTTCAAAGATAGTTTTCAATGGGTAAATTGTTGTTTTGGGAAATATTCCTACCAAACTTTTCTATCTCATTTGGGTTTTAGGATTTCTATGGATAACGTCTTGTGTAATTCCGTCTTGAAGGATGATTCTTAGTTTTCAATTGCAGATATTCTTGCACCATATGGATCATCTTCCTTCTCTTTTTGGGGCTTCAAATACTTAGTTTCACCTCAACTCTACATTCCCTTCATGAAGAATTTTTTTTTAAAATCAAAGACAATGCTAAAGATGTTTGGGTCATCTTCCAGTTCTCAAGTTTTTAAAATATTTGGGATGAAAGGAACAACATATGCCCTTTCAAATAAAATCAAGGATGAAAGGAACAACATAGCTTTAAACATTCCAGACAAACCTTTATAAGTTTTTGGAGCTATTGTTTAACTTTCTTGTTTTGTAATGTTTTCTTTTTTTGTTAACTTTTTAATCTTGTAATTTTATTTTTGTATCTCAATTCTTTCAATTAATAGGAAGTGGTTTCACCAACTTTTTAATAAAAAAAAATCCCCTAGGCATGTAAAAGTATTATTGAATGGTTTTATAATTTTTTTCCCTGTTCTTGTTTGTGTTGTTTGATGTGAATTTTTAGAGTGCTTTGCAAGTCCTAACGCAACTTTCAGGGAAAGATTCTTGTGCCATCATTTGGCTTGGATATGCTGCTGTGGCTTCTATTTTTTGTTATTTTATCTGAATCATTTCGTGATTATTTTGTGTGCATGATTGAGATTTAATTAGGTTTCATACATACTAGTTTCTGTTTTTATAGTGTAAATCTTAATCGTTGATTAAATTTATATTAACTATGAGATTTATTGTGAAATTTCAGATTTTGACTGCTTTTTAATTTGTAGTTTTGAATGAATGAAATATGTTTTTTGATTTTTCATCAAAAGTGACTAATCTTTACCTAAATTAAAAGTTGGGAATTGCCGTCTTGTGTTTGTTTTTGGTGTGCCTCATATGTCTACATTAGTGAATCCTAATCCCAAGACGTGCTACGTTTGGTGGACTATATTAACATGTGGCACAAAACAATAGAAAATAAGTAAAGATTGGTAAAAGCGATCTAGATGGTTTGGATAAGGCTAATGGTGGTGATGAGCAGCTTCGGTATTCAATGTTATCTACAAGAAGTATCCAAAACTACTGATCATTTGGTTTGAAGTAATGAAGATGCATTCACATTGAACTTACTCAGCAGAATATCAAATGCGTGCAGAAGATTAAGTGAGTCTCAAGAGGGCTTGCACCTTTCAGTGCTGCAGAGCACTTCCCCAGTACATCGAATGGTTTCATGACCCCCCACATTTGGCAACAAACTACTGGATCTGATGCACATGGTCTCTTAAAATGGTTTACATCTGTTCATCATGATTGCTTGCACCTGAACTCTTAGTTCACAGTTTTATCAATTTTTTTCCTTTTAGGATTGTGAATGAAAGGAAATGGAAAGTTAGAAACTCTAATGAGTTGTTGAAGATATAGTCAGGTCAACGAGTGCATGAAATTCCTTTTAACACATCTTTCCTTGTAATTTATTTCGTCAAACTTATAACCTTATTGTTGTTCATAAGCTTATTTTTGGTTTGTTAGTTACTAATCATGTTTAGCCGACCCAATGTAGTGGAATAAAGGCTTGTTGTTGTTGTAGTTATTAATCATGTTTAAATGTTCATTAATCAGGTGAAGTGGAATTTATATTTAGTGAGTATTAACAAATGATCTTAGAAGTGCAGGATGTGAGTTAGATGATATGCAATATTGTTGGAAATATATTTTCCTGATAATGATCTTAGAAGTGCAGGATGTGAATTAGATGATATGCAATATTGTTGGATATACGTTTTTGATCAGGAATCATGTATGGGTGTAGTATTATGGTATTTCAGCAACTATGGGACTTTATGTCAAAATTATAAAACACTAAATCTTTCAGTTTTATTCTAGCAGATTCCTTGGAAAATTTCCATCTGTACCTGGATGAATCAAGGATATTGCTAGGTTCAAGAATTTTCATCTTAGAAGCTATGTTGAAACCCTAATTATATTTGTTGTTGTCTACACGATTTTTCCCCTTTGGTCTTTTTATTTTTATGAGTAGTTATCAAATTTTGTATATATGAAAAAATCCTTTAATTCTGCTATTTATGCCAATGAATCTGTAGTCTATTTAGAGTCCTACCATCAGAAAAGAACATGTCCTTTTAGTTTTTTAGGGCATCACTTGCTAACTCATTGTGGTTGGACATTACTATTTGCTTATTTGATCGTTCTCCTTGCGCAGCTGTACAATTAGTGCTATGATCTTTATCATGTTTTAATCAGGTTAAGCCATGAGTGGCAAGCGTACATTTCGAGAACTCACTCATTACGGAGGACTTTTATATCTGTGAAAGGCATATATTACCAGGTAAATCGTTTGCTGCTTTATGCAAATTGCAATTGTCTTTGTGTCTTTGTGTAATGTTTTCCATACTGTTTTTGAAGGTTGCACTAATTCCTTGATTTTTATTTTTACAGGCAGAGGTTGAAGGACAAAAAATCACATGGTTGACACCACATGCTTTACAGCAAGTTGTGACTGATGATGTTGACTTTAATGTTATGCTTACATTTTTGGAGTTCTATGAGGTTGAGGCAATTATGTATCAATTAGAAGTTATTTATTTCTTTATTAAGACATCTTGTATATATCTATAAATATGGATAATTTTGTATAATAAGTAGGTATTTTTCCCCTTCTCAAATTCTATGAATTCTAACACACCTCATTGCAAAATATTTTGTCCAAGCTCTTAACTTGAAAAGTTCTTTTAGTTCGCTCAATACGAGTTCTTAGCTCATTAAACTGGGTGCACTCAATAATTATACATTGGTTGATATGTGGAATGCTGATGCTTTAGTAGACATGTTGGCCTAAGCTGTTATATACTTGACTCATCATCGTCATCATCATTCTCATCCCAATTTAATTTTTTTTTATTGCTGAGCGTTGTTTGAGATTTTAGCCATGTTTGTCACAAATAATTTGGAACAACTTTGATTCATATAATTTTAGGTCCGAGCCTTTTTTTTTTCTAGTTCCATGACACTAATTTTATCAACACATCTTTCAAACATTTTCTATCCTTCATTGTACATTTTCAAACTATCGGGTAAGTTTTTTTTAGGCATCTTATTTTCAATTGTTCTCAATCCAATATTTTCTCCATTATAATAATTCCTTAATTTATCCTTCTCAGGTTTATTATATATTAAAATTGCCATTTCTACCACACTTAACTTAACTATCAATACTTTTTTGCTACCAATATTTAAATTCACACATCGCCAACCTAATTTTAATTTTGTAAAGTTTATTTTTAAGCCTTAATGATATTATATTTTTTATAAAAAATGCCTGAATAACTTATCAAGTTTAACCATCCAGCCTTAACTCTGAAGTTATATTTTATCTATATCTCTATTCTCTGATATAATAGGTCTAAAATACTAAAATCATCATGCTAAGGCATCACCTTATTTAGTAATAACATTGATCATTAACATCATACCACAACAAATTAAAAAAAAAGCATACCACAAAATTATACATCATATATTAATTATTTGTTCTTCTAATTCTATGGCTTCTATCTTCTAATATTTTCTCAAATATTCTAACTTAGCACCTATGATGCACGGACACGGACACGGACACGGCGACACGACACGACACAGACGCGGGACACAACATTTTTTAAAAATATATGACACGAGTGCGGCGTGGACACGATAAAATAAAATTTTAATATAATATATAGAAATTAAGGTAACATTATATTAAAAATGGCAAACAATAATAAATCAAAATCATGATAACTTGTTTAGCTTATAAAATACATATTGTTTAGTACAAAATGTCTAGAATAACCATAAAAATATAAGCAAAAAATTATTTAGTAGAACATGAAGGTCCACCTACTCAATAGAGAGAATGATTGAATTATATTCAGAGGTTGGTCTTTGGCCTTCAATATCATCATCATTGAATATCATTGCTTCCAATTCTGGTTTATCTAGAGAAAGATTTGCAACCTCCAATAATCCCATATCATCAAGGCACTCGAACCCATCTCCAGCAATATCCCACATCTTATTATCACCTGTCATATAAAGTGGGGTTTTCCTTGTATGCACATAAACTAAATCTTCAGCTCGTTGTGGAGTTATTTTATTCCTTTTCATTGATTGAATAAATGAGTATGCACTTCAATTTCTCTTACAACAAGAAGATGATGATACTTGACCAATAAGTTTTATTGCAATGGTTTGAAGAAGCGGTGCTGAAGCTCCATGAATCAACCATCACATTTTTTGGATCTATTCTCCATCTATCAACCAAAGATTCTTGATAACCAAAATCCTCTAAATATTAATGGCAAAGGTATCTCTTTAGGAAGTGCCCTTTTGATCCTAGATTCAGCTTCATCAACTTGTCTGTTCAATTCAATCAACTGTGACGTAGTAATCTTAGGACACATTTTAATTTCATGATCATAAATTTTAAGTAGATGTGCTTTCACCCTAGAATAAGATCATTTGTAGGTGCCACCACAATAATTTCATTTGAATGACACATTCCCTCATCCTTCAAAAGTTTTTCCTAACTTTGTAACATAAATCCATAATAGCTTATCAGTTTCTATAGATGGCTTCAATTTCTATAGATGGCTCTTTTGAATCACTCCCACCAGCACTAGAGCTCATTTTGCTTTTAAATTCACTGGTGAAGTAGAAGAAATAAATGCTTAATAAATTGGGTGGCATATTGTAAAACAATTAAAAATTTGCAGCTATGTCGAGGGTCCAAGGGGGCGTTGCCCCTTGGCGGGGTTCGAACGTAAGAGTGAAAGTGCATTAAATAAATAAATTTTTAATGTAAGAGTAATTTTAATCCAAAACAAATAAAATATTTTTTTAAAAATATGCTCTTTTGATTACAAATCTACAGAATCATTGATAAATGAAGAGAAATGTCGAATGGAGAATACAAAATGGCAAAATCAACTTACATGTTTGAAAAATTTTCTGCGGTTTGGCGTTGGCTTCCCCCGATGTGCGCAGAAACTAAGGAGGATGACTTGTTACTTACGTGGCCGGAAGGGAAGACTAAGGGTGTGATCTCCAGCCGACCGCTGCTCGCCTCAATCGCTCGGGAAGACCACGAATACGAATAGGAATACGGGATTAAGGCAAAGATGAAGACTCGGGCGTGAACCGGCTAATATGAAATAGCAGGATTAGGGTTTATTTATTTATTTATTTAATTATACAATAGCTGGACACGCGACACGCGTGTCCGGGTTAAGTTTTTTTTTTTTTTCAAATGGGACACACTAATGACGTGTCCGACACGTGTCCTCACCGTGTTGGACGCGTGTCCGTGTTCGACATTGCATACCCTCTTAAAACGAAGTGTCGGTGAATTAGAGCTTTGCACCTATTTCAATGAATGCCTTACTAATTATAAATTATAATAATATCATTTGTAAAAAGCAAACAATAATGCACATTTTTTTGAATATTCTTTGCAAGAGTTTTCTCAACAAATGCAAAAAAGATATGAACTTAATGATAATCTTTAATGTAAACCTGGAGTAATTTAAAACTATCTGGTCATTCCACATCTCTATCTAATATTAACCAACTCTCTTTCATACATATTTTTGATAATGTGAACATATATTTATTACACATATTTCTACCTAAAAGCACATGAAATCAAATTTTGTAGTACTTGATCGTTCCTTTTGCTTCTCCAAAATATTTTTTTCTTAAAGCTTTTCATATTTGATTTTGGAAAGCAATAAAATAAGTCCATCTTTTATAAACATATTCGTTATAGTATACTGCTGATTTCTACATCTTAAACAAACGTTTTCGTTGTGGTTTGCTATAGATTAAAACATAAAAAAGGTCTTTGTGTATATTATCTGCTTCCTTTTCATTGTCTCATAAATAATATGCGGGGTCTCGTTAACATTCAGTTTATTTCTAGGATGTAAAGCACTAGGAATGCTGGAATTGATCTATATTTTTTTGGCTACAATATTTCAAGTTTGTTAGGTTTAGCTACTGTTTTGTTCCCTGAGTATTATTAAAGATAAATAATAATAAATATATGCTAACTTCAAGATAAATTTCATATATCTAGAAAGCTTTGTTTTGAGTAATTTTGAACTTCCCATCTAGATGAAGAAAGAATTAAATCCAGCATGTATTTGATTTTCTTTGTTCATGTATTTTGGTCCATATATATATAGGAATTAAATTTTTTGTCCCAAAATCATTTGCAGTTCTTCTTGTTTGATAAATCGTTTTGGGTGATATAAACCAGAAACCCTTTTGTTGTTAATGAGTTGTGTTGAATAATTCACTGCAATTACTTTCCTAAATAAGGAAGAAATATTTCTTTTTCTTGTATGAACTTGTGTCATGTGAAGTTGGAATATTGGCGGGTCACGTTGGGGCGTAAATCTTGGGATTCTTGCACATGGAAAACTGCAAAGAAAAAATTGTAGAACATTAATTCTGCATTTAATGAAATCATGTGGCTGTTTTTTTTTTTTTTGTTTAATGTGTCTTGGGCTTTTAAATTTTTTTATTTATTATTACTTTTAAAGCCTTCTTTCATGCTCTTCTATCGATAAAAAACAAAATTTTTTCAATACTCTTCTTCTCCGGTTGACGTGACGTTCCAAATGCAATCATGTTTCAACTTCCGACAACTGTAACTCCAGCGATGACAAGGTGGTCCAACTTAGTGAGCAAGGCAGCTTGAGCCTGCTGCACTCTTCTTCTTCCTAAACGGGATATTTGGGCAAAATATATATTTTTAGGGGGGGTCAAAAGTCTATATTTATCCTCATATAAACCTTTTTTTTAGGGTGGGCATTTGCCCACCCTGAGGTATACTGGGATCTGGCCATTAGTTGTTCTTCTAATTCTATGGCTTCTATCTTCTAATATTTTTTCAAATATTCTAACTTTGCACCTATGATGCACGGACACGGACACGGCGACACGACACAGACACGGACACGGGACATGACATTTTTTAAAAATATAGGACACGGGTGCGGCGTGGACACGACATAATAATTTTTTAATATAATATATAGAAATTAAGGTAACATTATATTAAAAATGACAAGCAATAATAAATCAAAGTCATGATAACTTGTTTAGCTTATAACATAAAGATGTTTAGTACAAAATGTCTAGAACAACCACAAAAATATAAGCAAAAAATCATTTAGTACAACATGAATATCCAACTACTCAATAGAGGGAATGATATAATTAGATTCAGAGGTTGATAATTGGTCTTCAATATCATAATCATTGAATATCATTGCTTCCAACTCTGGTTCATCTAGAGAAAGATTTGCAACCTCCTATAATCCCATATCATCAAGGCACTCAAATCCATCTCCAGCAACATCTCACATCTTGTTATCACCTGTCATATAAAGTGGGGTTTTCCTTGATAGAAGACAAATATTTGTATGCACATAAACTAAATCTTCAGATCGTTGTGGAGTTATTTTATTCATCTTCATTGATTGAATAAATGAGTATATGCTCCA